AATTTTAAAATTGATTGGTGAAACTGAGAGTTAATTTTATATTTTATTTATAAAATGGATTTCAAATTTCTTTTTTTAGATGACTAGTACAGGTAGAATCGCAAAATGCAGACAAATAGAGAGGACTTATCTAACACTTCCTTTTCATCTATTAGCGAGTTGGCTCCTCCTCGGAAAAACAAAAAAAATTGTGCAGTGGCTAAACAAAACGAGCTAATTGAAAAGGCATGTTCCCTATTGTCTGCACCCCAAAGTTCTACAAACATAAACGCAACGGCATTATACTGGAGTGAAAAATTAGAGCATCTAAATCCAACGCAGCGTATGCCAGCTGAAAAAGGAATTAATGATATTTTATTTGAAGCAGAACTGGGTAACTTGAGACGTAACTCTGTTAAAATAATTGTATATCCAGACGCTTGCAACAGGGATGTGTCATCAGCTCCGACACCAGAACCCACAATGTATAATCAATTACCACCATTACCACGTTTCTCTGAATCATCACCGCAACCAGATATTAAAGCTATTCGAGTCCAAAGACCGCCACCTATTTATGTACCACCGCCAACACCTTCACCAGACTCCAATTTTGGAATGCCTCTGCAGAGTGAATATATAACACCTAACTACCCACATACTCCGTCTCCTATTCTATCTTCGCAATCTAGTTTTTCCTCGCAATTGCCTCCAAGTGGCAAAGCAATGCTAATATACAATACTGAAGTAGGTGCCACTGCAGAAATACAAAGCACAGAGGAATACTCACTAAGATCTCTTTTTCATCATTCCCTGGCAACTAAAATTATTACATAAATCATATGTATTTATTTGCACAGTTTTCTGAATAAATTATAACAAAATACCATATGTACATGTGTATCATTTAGTACACTTACTTTAATGCAGTTTCGAAGAGCGTATATCAAAGCTTCACATGTATCCATGATCTCTTCGCTTATTGCTTGCCGCGACATAATCGCTGTATACCGCACCTGCTTAAAGTAGCTGTAAAATAATCACAATAAGTTGTGAACAAATATCATTAGATTTGGGTACATACCTTCCTGTTGCTAAATAATGCAAAGTCACCGCCAGTTTTTCTTTTGGCGAAATTGCAGCTCTCATAACTGTATCTTGCTTAGTTATATATGGGCTGATTAATTCAAGAATATGGTCGAAACTTTCAGTGGAGATCCGAATGTAATTTTCGTAGTCGCTTAATTCCTTACAAAGTCGAATCGAATCCAATAATCTCAAATGAGTGTACCTATGCCGCTCCAGGTACCATCTTCGACTCCAATACTTCCTCTTTGTTTCTTTTTTTAATGAAAATGCCAGTAATATGGCTAAACACGCTCTTTTTGAATTTTCTTGCATTTTTCTTATTTAAAAACGACTTGCACAGTTCAAAAGTTTGAAAATAATGACGCGATAAATATTGAAGGTGTAGCATAGCAGAGAGTGGAGCATCATGCATCAATATGGATCGCGATCCAAATTAATCGTGAGACAGGGCCCTATCAAGAGTGCCTTTGTGTATATTATATATGCCGCTGTAGCTGGTATTTATTTGTTGTTCGTTCTGGAGCATGTTTTTCAATTGAGGATTTATAAACCATTGCTTAATTAACTCCTTACAGGTCAACCATTCTGCTCTAAACAAAGGCGGCAATTCTCCAGCTAAAACGAATCTTGTATGAATCGGTGAACTCGGAGGCACACCAATACACCGTCTTAAAGTGTCATTTACAATCCTGGCAAGCTTTTCATTATACCCCGAAGGAGCATTTGCCCAAGTTGTGCAGCCATACTTAGCCTTCGCCCTCACAAAAGCCCTATAAACATTCACAGAAACCTTGGGTGTCAGCCCAGCCTTAATAAAGGTCAGGCGCTTTAACAGATTCGTTGCGGGTACAATCTCGCCCAGTGTACCACTACAATTGATAATTCTTCCAAGAAACTTAAACTGTCGGACCTGTTCAACTTCCGCACACCCTAATCTCAGCGAAAACGAATTTTTAGCACCTTTAGCCATGTACATGAATTTTGTTTTGTTAATGTTTATATTAAAGGAGATTTCATTGCACAATCTGTTAAAACTTGAAAGCTTCGCCTGTAAATTTCTTAAAGCACCCTCAGTGGTTTTACTAAGTGATATCAACAAAAAA